CTGAAAGAATGCAGAGCGCGGCCTGGATAAATATTTTGTTCAATACAATACACTGAATGGAGACAAAAGATACGGATAGTCATTCTCATTATTTATCAATACATGAAATATACAAAATAATAAAAACAATAAAATGTTTTAATCTTGCCAAATTGTTTGGTGACCCCTGCCATAACGCGTGACGTTACTGACTAGGTGTGCGATATGCGTTATGTAAGACGCTAAAGCATGTTTTATCGTACTGACTTTAGGCAATGATGATCGAGACAAGGCCTAAAATTCAACCGCTTATATCTCGGTTCAGAGTGGAGCCAATCTGATTACAATACAGATCTATATTTCGTTTCGTTTTTTTATACTTTCGATGGCCTACACTACATGAAGATCTGACAAGTTATAGCGATAGGTCACGTCAGGGGTCAAAAGACCGACTTATGACCCTATGACGTCAGACATTTGATTAACCAATCAGCATTGATGTTTCTAGTGGATTACCCACAGTTCCGTGAAAAACACGCCTAAAGCTCGCCGTAACAGACCGTTTCATTGGCTTATCCCTGACACCATTCAGAACACGAGTTAAATAACAACTCTTCCAGATCCAAGTGTAGTAAAGACAAGTAAAACGAAATTTTGAACTATAAAAACCAAACGAAATAGGATCTGTGTTTTAACCAGATTGGAGTGGTCAATTTGACTGAAATTTTCAGCATATTTTCTTTACGTTATCTAGTATTTAACTATTATAGCGATAACTCTCAACTCTTTAACTAATCTCCCATAATGCCCCTTTAATCGACATTGTCATAAAGAGATACTTAAAAGGTTATTTTAGTCTCACCGATTTCGATAAAACAAAAATGACATTAAGAGAGGTATTACGTAAGGCCTAGATAAAGAGCTGGTTGTTATATGTATTGAAAATTAATTTATTCTCAACGAAGTTAGGAAGATTTGACAACCAATCGCCCAAACCAAGTCTTCCGATGTTCTAGAGAGTTGATGTGCCTGTTATGTGAATATATGTCTAAATAATATTAATGAATGTAACAGTCGAAGCTAGAGGGGATTTAACATTCACTCGACACAAACTAGGTTATTTCGTGACTAACATAAGGTTCAATTTTATTTCAATAATTCGCTTGGACGTAGGGGTCTTTAGCATTGGGAATAAACCGGAGAAAACCCACGATTTTGGACAGGCGACCCTACTCCTTGTCACGTACAACCGGGGAATCGAAACCACGCCAGTTGACTCAATGACAGACCTTATACTACAGCGCGCACGTGCTAACCATTTGGGGGTTATGGAGGCTAAATGGGTAAGACGCTGGCTCGCTAGCCTGGGGGTCGGGTGTTCGATCCCTGCATTGTCCGAGAAAGTTCACCCAGATTTACCGGCGTGGCCACACTTATCAGTGATGCAGGACGGAGGGCCTGACAAGTACAGCTGTCTAGTCGTTCGGATGGGACGAAAAACCCAGGTACCGTGTACTCATTGGCGCGCACGTAAAAGATCCCTTGACAGTTGGAATTCGATATAAGAGTAGGCCGTAGCGCAAAATTTCCCTCATAACACTCTGTATGGTGTATGCCCGTCTTCATTAGCCCAGTTCGGAGCAGAACAGTAGGACGTTAAACCCCATTTCATTTCATTTCGCTAACCATTCGGCCACCCACCCGCAAGAAAAAAAGACCTGCAATGCGTAGATTTATCTTTTAAAGAATGCGTCTTTAAATGGTATAAATTTGAGAGATTTCTAACGATCTTGACACGGGAATGTTGAGGACCTACTACTCATATTTGTCGATGACATAACAGTGACCACATAATGTTAATATCTTGCTGTATGTCACCTTCAACAGTACTCTAGTTTGTGGTTTGTTCGACTGTCTGACTGTATTGTTCTATTTTAAGACCAGGTGTCTAAATATATATTATTCATGCAGTGTATATATGCACATGAAATATGCTAATTACTAGGCCTAAATATAAAATATAGGACATGAACTTATAGTATATATTTATTTAATAGGGGAGTTGGATGGCCGAATGGTTAACTCGTGAGCTTTCATAAGGTATATGTATGTCATTGAGTCAACTGGGCTGGTTGTACGTGACAAAGAGTAGGGTCGCCTGCCCAACCTCGTGGGTCCTCCCACTGCTAAAGACCCCTACGGGCAAGCGAATTATTGAAATAAAATTGAATCGAATTGACCTAGTTTGTGTCGAGTGGGCCCTCTCTCTCTCTCTCTCCCTCTCTCTCTCTCCCCCTCTCTCTCTATCTCTCTCTCTCCCCTCCCTCTCCCCCTCTCTCTCTATCTCTCTCTCTCCCCCCCTCTCTCTCTCTATCTCTCTCTCTCTCTCTCTCTTTTCTAAGCATTCTCGTACGGATTCTAATAATAGCCGAAATAAATATCCTTTGTTCACCAGAAAGTGGTATGCATCATGGATACTCTTAACATCTTGTTAATCTTCTAGTATTTCATTGATATAATATGCACAGTTCGCTCTTAAAGTGGAACAATGAATTTATTCTGCAGACAATTTATTCTGATTGTTTACGTGTGTTTACATTCTTGTAATTTAAATAATATACGACATTTCGTAACATTTTCAATAAATAGATTAGATATCCCTAAGAGTGGGAAAGGATATTTTTTTTAATTGATCTTCGTGAATATTAAAAGGTTATTTTCAGGGTGACACCGATTATGATCTTGTTTGTTCAATGTTAGGAAACAGCAGTGGTGGTAGCATCGACTATTCTTAGCGAATTCCAACTGCCGTGGGGTCTTTAGAATTCAAACAGTTTATTGAGCGCAAATATGTTAATTATAAGGGTGTCAATATTTGTTGTAATATATTAAAACCTCCCGGTGGTGGTTATACCAACGGCGTATTTACCCACAGAGTGTTAATATATAAACATTATGTAAGATTCTAGTAATTAGGGGTAAATTATACTGTTTTAACTCTTCAGCACGGGCCATCTAATCTTCATTATTCATTCAAAGTTATTCTTTGTTGTTATCTGTTCAAAAAACCACAGCGCAAATCATCGGGTAGGTGACTACGGTTGCCAGAATTTTAAGTTCATTGCCATGGCATGCCAAATCGGAGGGGGGAACGGTTTATCAAAGAGAGAGAGAGAGAGAGAGAGAGGTGCCAGAATTTTAAGTTCATTACCATGGCATACCAAATGGGAGGGGAAGGTTTATCAAAGAGAGAGAGAGAGAGAGAGACAGACAGACAGAGAGAGAGAGGGAGAGACGGGTGCCAGAATTTTAAGTTCATTGCCATGGCATACCAAATCGGAGGGGAGACATTTTATCAAAAAGAAAAGAGAGAGAGAGAGAGAAATGGGGTTTAACGTCCACTCGACACAAACTAGGTCATGTCATTTCATTTTAATGATTCGCTTGCACGTAGGGGTCTTTAGCAGTGGGAGGAAACCGGAGGACCCAGAGAAAACCCACGAGGTTGGACAGGCGAATCGAAACCACGCCAGTTGATTCAATGACAGACCTTATGATACAACACGCACGGGCTAACCATTCGGTTATCCAACCCCCCCCCCCCCCCCCCCCGGTTTATCAAAGAAGTGTAATTCCGACTATAATAAGAGGTTGACTCGTTGAGTATCCTAATGTAGGTAATTAAGCGGATATGGACTTTCATTTGTCAAATGAGGTTTCTATATGAAGCGTGTATATTACATGTGGTTTTCTCTGGGCCCTCTGGGTACCTTGAACTAATATAAAAAAAAAACAACAGCACGGAAGCGAATTATTGAAATTAGTATATATTTTAGTCCCGAAATGGCGGGGTTTATGTTGAGTAAGAGTTAAACAACGTTTCTTTTTCATTGAATATAATATTACAACTTGAAGAAAGGAACGAGTTTGTCAACAAAAGAAAACGGCCGTAAATATAAATTACACTGATTCTAACGCAATATTTACGAAACAAAAAGTGTGCTATGGCAACAGCCCAAAATTTCACATCAAAATATTTCACATCAAAATATTGGAACTTAGAATTAGTACATGTAGCCCAAGTTCTTCACAGGGGTAGTTAAATTCTGCCTGTCCCTTAAAGTTAGTACCCCCCCCCCGCCCCCCGTCCAAAAAAAGAGAAGAAAAATGCGGAAATGGGATAAAGAAAATGATATTGAACAAATCAATGATCAGATCAGCCTTCCCTCTCAATTTTCATACAAGTACTGATGATAAGTTATTGATTCAAGTACTGATGATAAGTTATTGATACAAGTACTGATGATAAGTTATTGATACAAGTACTGATGATAAGTTATTGATACAAGTACTGATGATAAGTTATTGATACAAGTACTGATGACAAGTTATTGATACAAGTACTGATGACAAGTTATTGATACAAGTACTGATGATAAGTTATTGATACAAGTACTAATGAAGGAACGCTGGTAGTGGTGGATTCGAATCCCGGCTTATGTTGAGATTCATCGTATAGCTTGTACCTGCGGGACAAACAAGTGAACCCAGTCATGTACATATAGACTCACTCTTTAAATAACCCAAAACAGTTGGAATTTCATAAAGAAGAGTAAAATGACACTGTCTGGACCAAATTCATCTCCTCATTAGTAGTACATACATGACGAAAGCTAAACATCATGCAACAGTATGTACGTCTAAAAAGTGTTGCATTGACTTAATTCTTGTGGTTTTAGCTGAGAAAACTTCAATTGTGTGGCATCGGATAACTATAACATCATCTGTAACTTATAGTATATACATTCCCCTACCCCTTGACACTGTACGGTTCTCCATTTATATCTAGCCAGTCCAATACACCGCAAATGAAATTACAAATTTCACAATGTTTAACTGATATCTTTGAACCACTGTGTTGAATAAATTCTCCCTTCATATATTAAGAAATTGTGTATTACTCCCAGAATAACCCAATTCAGGTAAACATTTCATATATATAACTAAAAAAATGAGCTTACCTGATTCGATTGTTTGGCTCGTCGAATGTCATTGAATTTTCCGAACATTCCGCAGCCATTTGAAGATACACAAATCATAGAAACAAATTTCGTTTATAACACTAATTAATCTACAAATAATTAAATAATCCACTGATAATCCACCGAATGTGTAATTTATTTACTCCATGAATTAGTATTAGATCACTAAAATATATCCTTAATCCACAAAGGTACGCTCTCTTCCTTTCAGTTCATTTTTACGTGTAACACTATTGTGTATCGACTCTGCCATAACAAACTCGCATCTTTTAAAAACACGTACACACTGACTACAAATAATGCTCGCCCTTATGAAAAATTTTCCACATTTCCAACTTCGTGTAAACGGTACATTGATATTTTCTTCCATATTAGGTTCATCATCTTTCGATTTTGTTTCTTCCAGCCAAATTCCACACAAGAAAAACAAATTAATCCAATAAAAAGTTTATGTGTTAAAACTATTTAAACGTCCATCTCTCGTCGCTTAAACGCCAGTGGGAAATTTATCAATTGTCACCGCTGTAAAACGTAACACAATTCTTCTAAACAGACAGGCGGCGGTGCTCACAATTGTACCCTTATGGATGAAATGCACAGTAAAGATGAGAATCACTCGTATAGTCCCGCTATAGCTGCATGGAGACCTTCGCGGTATATCAATTTATAATGCGTATTAAATGACGTGTATAATGGGGCTTAATACACATTTTGTTTGTAGGTTGCTTTAATGTATTCTGCAGTTTATTTATGACCGAGTCTATATAGATTAACGCTTGGTTTAAAATGATTGTAGCTTTAATGTTATCAAGTAAAGGCTGCTTTCTCATGAAATATGTCGCCTGCTATCTGGAAATTGGCGGGAGTCTGCTTATTGTGCCCCGTGGTGGCAAGCGTGTCTGAAAATGTTAATAAATTTCATCTATTATCATAAATGGATTTGTGCCAAACACAAGAAGGTCTAACGATGGGTCGAAAAACTTCGAGCACGTGTTTGGTCATGATGTAGGCAATTAAGAAAGTCATAGTAGCCTGTAAGTTGCGTAGTTTATCCAATGATTTGCCCACGCAATTTATGCAGTAACCTTATATTCAAAACAAGAAGGATAGGAAAGGAAGGCACTTCTATGTTCTAGAACTATGTGCGTTAATCGCTTACAGTGGCATGATTTTCCTTCATACACAACCCCCCTCATTGTCTCGCAGAGAGAGGGAGAGAGAGAGAGGGAGAGATGGGGATTAACGTCCACTCGACACAAACTAGGTCATTTCGGGACTAACACATGGTTCAATATTATTTCAATAATTAGCTTATTATGGGTCTTTAGTTCAATAAAATAGGGTCTTTAACAGTGGGAGGAAACTGGAGGACCCGGAGAAAACCCACGAGGTTGGACAGTCGACCATACTCCTTGTCACGTACAAACGTGTCTCTCAAAATGAATGATTACATCTTTGAAGTTTTGAATTAGTAAAGTTTAAATGTTTTGTACTCGTTTTAAACATGCTTTTTTAAAACGTTTGTGATTACTATACAGATGCACCCTTCGGGTGTCGTACAACCATCATTTGTAGGATTTGTTTTTTCATTTTTCAGTCGGCAATACTATATACCGGAAAACACCGGAAAACAACCGGAAAACAACGGGAAAACAACCTGAAAACAACCGGAAAACACCATTTTATACTGAATACTGGAAAACACCGGAAAAACACTAAATACCGGAAAACACACTTAATACCGGAAAACACCCTAAATAGGTAACCCGGAGCCTGGTCCTCTGTGTGCGGTTTTGGACCAAGTGAGCGCCGATGAAGGAAGGTCAAGGTCATACGATGTTCGTTTTACAAATAGCCCCCTTGTATGTCAATGAACTTATTTCATCAGCGCTCACCTGGTCCAAAACCACACACGAGGACCAAACTCCGGGTTACTAAATAGCTACCGGAAAACTTAGAAGAGTAAACTGTGCCCGAGATTTTTTTAGAAAGCGCGCCGCCAGGGTGGAACGGGGGTGGAATTGTCCAGTCACGTGACGAACATAGATCTTCCGTTCCTCAACCTATATTATTTCCACAGTCATTGTCATTAATCACAAATTACGGGCTGATATACGAAAATGCAGGTTTATTTTGAAATAGTGCAAATGATAGTTTTCCATCTACAATCTTCAGATCAAAGGATGCAAGTTCTTACACAGTGCAGCACAATTTGTGCAACAGAAGACATCTCGAATATCGATTGTCTGAAAAAAACATTTTCTTGGGGACATTTTTTTTCCGAATACGCATTCGGTGTAAGTCTTCAGCCACCAGGAAGTGGTTAACATAGTAATGTTTTATTACGATAGTAGTACATAAAACAAATTGGTTGCCCGAGGTTCTCGGGGGGAAAGTAGCCTCATCGGCTCGAGTCCTCTATTTCACAAACAAAAACAACAATTGCTTCCTTGAAAATTTATCGATCAACCCTTTTCACAGACGTCCAGCTTACCACTTCCCGTCAATGCAGTAAGATAGAATATGTAGTTTTCTCATGGACAATAGGGCGAAAGTTGGGGTTTTCTCAAGGAAAACTGGTCAACAAGTTGGGGAAAAAAGCTCGAAAAGTAATCCAAAAAAAAATCCTGTGTGCGGCCCTCGGAATATGATGGAATATGTTGAATATTATTATGGTTCAAGTGATTATATTTGACCCTGGAATGAAAGTAAGCTCAGAAACAAGTAGATTGTTAGCCCTTCCAACGAGATGGATAGCTTTTGGAAAGGATAGACACTTTTCAGATTACAGCCTGTCCGAGAATTGCGTGGCATCCATTTCGTTTGGTGATAAGGACACATAGCGGTTAAACCTAGAACTTCAACTCGAACTATTCAGAGATTTATTAACTCGCTTTTGATGATACTTGCTGTTTTATGATGCGATTTTTTGTTACCTAGGGAGGAGTTGGCCTAGTCGTGCCTTCCACTACTTCGTTCCACCCTGATGCCAGCGTTACTGGTAAGGATCAGGAGACCGGCGCAACCGGCATATAATGGGGCCCTCCGAGGGCAGTGTTTAATCTACTGAAATACTGAAACACTGAAATCTACTGAAATTTACTGAAAACTAAAATTAAAATACAAATTTTTTTTGATCAATGATGGAGGCAGACTGATTGCGTCTTTTAAAACATTCAAAACATAATAGGCATCAACAAAATTTTGGAGAAAAAAATCGGAATTTGTTTTTTTTTTTTGGGGGGGGGGGGGGTATTTGTAAAACGAACATCGTAATGACCTTGACCTTCCTTCATCGGCGCTCACTTGGTCCAAAATCGCACACAGAGGACCAGGCTCCGGGTTACCTATTTAGGGTGTTTTCCGGTATTTAGGATGTTTTCCGGTATTTAGTGTTTTTCTGGTGTTTTCCGGTATTCAGTATAAAATGGTGTTTTCCGGTTGTTTTCCGGTATTTTCCTGTGTTTTCCGGTGTTTTCCGGTATATAGTATGGCCCATTTTTCAATCTACAAGATGCAAAGCTGCAATCGCAGACTCGTCATCGAAACCTTCCTTATACCCCCGTCAGACCAAGGTGGCGTCCTTACTGCGTTGCTACGGCGACGGAAAATGATCTCAGAGCGCGTTAAGATCACCATAAGCGTGGTAAAAGCGTGGTGGAAACGCCAGATATCGTGCTGTGGTCTCCATGGTCGCCAAGATTCTGCGATCTGACCCGAAAGCTGTGAGAACCCGGTGGTTTTCAAGTTTGTAATTTTTGGGGGACATTTTCTCGCCTTGTGTTTACGTTTGCCGGCAATCTTGTGCATTTTCTGGTCGCCGTACGGTCTGACGGGGGTATTACTCTATTCACAGTGGTGCTTTCCAACCATCGAAACCTCAATCGGACCTAAGTAAGAGCTCTTTTAGTTCAATCTTTGTGTCAGTTTTAATTCAATGTTAATTATTTATTAACTATTATTGCGTCCATCATGGAAATCTGATCATAACATGACACATATAATCAGATCAGTACAATTCAGAATTACTTTAAACACGTATTGATACACTATATGTCAAGGGGTTTTATTGCCGAAGGTTTACTCAAAGTTTACAACGGATGGGCCTATGTTCTCTTGCCTGGAAACCCCTTTATATTTCAGGGGAAATATTACATTAGGAACATAAGAAAATAACCCTAGTATTCTTGGCTGGCTTTCCGCAATTGCGATAAATCTGAAATCAGACCGACCACAGGGAAAGTCATTCATTTAGCCTTCACGAAACATGTTCTGACGCGATTAGAAAGATTGGTATGAATTAGACCTTTAATTGCTGTAAACGTAAGATTGTCTGTTGAGATAAGAGCGTTGATTTAACTTTCGGCATTACAAAGATAAAGCTTTACGTTGGTTTCAACCAACAATATTAGGTTATTTACACGACAGTTTTCGTAAGTATGGTTGTGGTTTTCTAGAAAAATCAACGCGCTCCTTGTTTTTTTCAGTGTCGTATCGTACAGTCCAACGTGTAGTTAGGAACGTCATATTTTGCAGCTAGTTAAAGGGGAGAGGGCACGAGGAACTACTTTAGCTTACATTTATCAAACCGTTTTTGTGTAACGAATTTAAACGATAATGTGCAGCCTATTTTATTTACTCTTACATGGACTTTGTAGCATGTCAAATTTCAGCCTTGAAAGTATATCTGTATTTTACAACAAAATAATGACATGAATTATCTGTGGGTGTCCGTATGATCGCACAGAAAGTATGGAACTTAAGAGAGAGAGAGAGAGAGAGAGAGAGAGGAGAGAGAGAGTTTAACGTCCACTCGACACAATTTGGGTCATTTTGGGACTAACATATGGTTCAATTTTATTTCAATAATTCGCTTGCGCGTAGGAGTCTTTCGTAGTGGGAGGAAACCGGAGGACACGAAGAAAAGCCACGAGGTTGGTCAGGCGAACCTAATCCTTGTCACGTACAACCGGGGAATCAAAACCACGCCAATTGACTCAATGACAGACCTTATGATAAAACACGCACGCGCTAACCATTCAGAGAGAGAGAGAGAGAGAGAGCGCGCGAGAGAGTTTTACTTCCAATAATTCGCTTGCACGTAGGGGTTTCTAGCAGTGGGAGGAAACCAGAGGACCCGGAGAAAAGCCACGGGGTTGGACAGGCGACCCTACTCCTTGCCACTGCAACCGTTGAATCACGCCAGTGACTCAATGACAGACCTTATGATACAATGCACACGCACTAACCATTCGGCCATCCAAACCCCCGTGGAACTACGAACGAAGACCCCCACCCCCAATAGTGATCCGCCCAATGAGTTCAAACCTTGGAGCAAGTATTTCTCAGGATGAGTGGCCACCTGGTCAGTCGCATACCTTATGCTATATATTCTTTTTCGATTAGGAGCCACGGTGGCTAAGTGGTAAGACGCTGGCTCGATCCCTGCATTGGCCGAGAAGGTTTATTGCCATTTTCCGGCGTGGAGGGCCTGACATGGACAGCTGTCTAGTCATTCGGATTGGACGAAACACTCTGGTCCCGTATACCACGTAAAAGATCCCCTGCGAGTTGGAATTCGATATAAGAGTAGGCCATAGTGCCGCTGGTCGGCAAAACTACCCTCATAGCACACTGTATGGCGTATGCCCGTCTTCATTAGCCCAGTCGGACCCGAACAGTAGAACGTTAAACCCCATTTCATTTCATTTGTAAAGTAAGATGGGGTAGAACAAAATCTGATGTAACGTTTGTTTTTATTAAAGATACATTATGGGAGATTCGGTAACGAGTTGGCAGTTCTCGCTATAATAGTTAAAAACTAGATAATGTAAAGGCTATTTGGTGAAAATTTCATTCAAATTGATCCACTATGAACCGAGAACTAAGCGAATGAAATTTCTGCCCATCCTCGGTTATCATTACTAAAGTCAGTACGATAAACAGCATAGTCTCGATTATCCATTTAATCGTTTAATCGAGAAGGAAAGTTATGCAGTAAATCGGCTTACAATCCACTAAAGATCGCAGGTTAGTGATGCCATCTAGAGTTGATTATGGCCTGGATAGGTTAACTAATGTCTAATTAATAATTTAGATAACATTTCAGGCCTAAAGAAAGACCTGAAATAGGAAGATTTAGCTCTTGCATAATGTATGTTTAAATTGCCGTGTACATGAGCGACATTATCCTCGAGTACAAGGAATGTTTAATAAAAACTAAAGTAAACCAATCAAAAAATATCAAAGGGTTATGGCTAATCCGTAGTTTTATCTCAGTCATCGTCTTTAAATATTTATGTTTTAAAATAATTCTTTCTCGGAAGCTGTACATTGTGTTGTGACAGCCAAGGTGTTTGTTGTAACGTTTATTAATCGTTATTTGATCGCTCGAACAATGTTGGACCATATTTTACACGTCAACCGACTAATTCCAGCAGCTCTAACGTATCAGAACAGATGTCTTATATCACGCCCTTGCGTAACCCCATCTCTCCTTTTACACAATTTTAAATGGTGTAATAAATAGCTGTATTACAATCTGGCGATATGGACGATATCAAATTAGTATTTTCACTTGGGACCTTGTGATCTTATTAAGACGGATTTCGATGAAACGGGTTAACTGAATTATCTTGGAAACGTTTTATCTGTCTCCACATACTTCCCGGTGTGTGTGAGCAAACTGACATGGAGATAAATCAATTTATCAAGATAAAAAGATACTAATACCGGAGATTAAGGTGATTCTAACCTCGTAAAAAGGGGCATAAAAACCAATAAATCTTAAACAGGATACTTGGTAGCTTGTGTTTTAATCGCTCTTCCGGTTTGGCTATAGGTACGCAACGTGACAAGGTACCATCCATAAACTGGATTTGAATCCGATCTGCTGCTCAACGCTCATTGATGATTGAAACACATTATGGAAGATTAGATAAAGAGCGGGCAGTTCTCACTGTAATAGTTAGAAATTAGGTTATGTAAAGAGAATATGATGAAAATTTCAGTCAAATTGATCCACTCTGAAACAAGATATTAGCGATTGAATTTAAGGCCTAGTCTCAATCATCATTACTAAAGTCGGTACGATAAAAAACATAGTCTCGATTATCCATTTTTTTGATTCAATCATCAATGAGCTTTGAGCAGCAGATCGGATTCAAATCCAGTGAAAAACCGACACACAAGATGTCATCGAGAGTTGATTATGGCCTTTTCATGTTCTAATTAATAAATTAGACAACATTTCAGGCCTAAAGGAAGACCTGTAATAAGCAGATTTAGTTCTTGCATAATGCATGTTTAAAAGGGCAACAGACAAATAGTATTTTCGTTATTTAACAAAATATCTGGGTTGTTATTATTATTACTATAATAACCAAGATTAAAATAAAAATGTTGTGTTAGGTTCCAACTGTCGGGCGATAGGATTGTCCCAATTGAGTCCACGATGTGGTACGTTCGAATACGTTTCGATACGGGGATCACGTGGCTAAGTGGGTAAGACGCTGGCTCGCTAGCCTGGAGGTCGGTTGTTCCATCCCTGCATTGGCCGAGAAAGTTCATCCAGATTTTCCGGCGTGGTTCCCCCCTTGTCAGTGATACAGGACGGAGGGCCTGACAAGGGCAGCTGTCTAGTCGTTCGGATGGGACGGAAAAACGAGGTCCCGTGTACATATTGGCGTGCAGTTGGAATTCGATATAAGAATAGGCCGTAGCGCCGCTGCCCGGGCAAAATTTCCCTTATAGCACACTGTATGGCGTAATCCCGTCTTCATTAGCCCAGCTTAGGAGCAGAACAGTAGGACGTTAAACCCTATTTCATTTCATTTCATTTCATTTCCACGATTCGATACGATCAACACGATTGCTACGACTGACCTCAATATATGGTAAGACCTGATAGGATCACTACGATTACTTCACGACTAAAACCACGATTTCAATCGTAGCACGAATCGTGACAGTCGGAACCGGGCATAAATTAGATAACGCCATGGCCTTGATGTTGGTAATAACAAATAAAACATGTTGAATAGATTTAACCACAGCTAAAAAAATAGCACTTAGAATTCGTCTTTTGTTATTGTTGTTGTTTTTTTTAAGAGAAGGAATACGTTTGATTGTGAGTGATCTCTAAATCACATTTCCGTTTATTCTGGAATATTGTCCATCAAGAGAGAGAGAGAGAGAGAGAGAGAGAGAGAGGGGTTTAACGTCCACGCGACACAAACTAAGTCATTTCGGGACTAACATATGGTTCAATTTTATTTCAATAATTCGCTTGCACGTAGGGGTCTTTAGCAGTGGTAGGGTCCGGAGAAAACCCACGAGGTTAGACAGGCGACCCTACTCCTTGTCACGTACAACCGGGGAATCGAAACCACGCCAGTTGACTAAATGACAGACCTGATGATACAACGCGCACGCGCTAACCATTCGACCATTCAACCCCGCCCCCCACAAATAGCGGAAACTTTCCTTTACTCATAAAATGAAGAAAATGGATGATTTACTAGAATTTTGCAGAGAATAATACATTACCATGTCGTTTCCTCTAGTCAGCTTCAGTGGATATGACACGCGTTCATTTCAAGTGATATAATAGTTTGTTGGTCAGTACAGTGATATACAGCACGTATTTAACTAATCTATCAACTACCTCTATATCTACTGTTCTATTCTACATGATGCAATACACACGAATAGAAATATACACACCATCGATTGATTTACCTAAAACACATCCAATTAACTTAAAGAGAAACACACACACACATGCGCGCACGCACAATTTTATAGATAATCTTACAGTATTTAATGAAATATTTATGCAACCGGTCACGATTTATGTGAATGGGGTCAAGGATGCTAGGAATGCTGTCGGAAGTATTTAAACCCGGCCGTCACCAGTAGTTCCGTGTTACACTCAACAATCATAAACAAATTAAATGATTTACGTTTAAGATTTCGTCAGTTCTGCTGTTATACCCGACAATATTTGCTTTACGGTGATGGTGAGAATTTAAAGGGGTATTTTGAGAGATTAGATAACGAGTTGACTGTTTTCGCTATAATAGTTACAAAAATAGATAATGTAAATAAAATATGTTGAAAATTTCAGTCAAATTGCTTCACTTTGAACCGAGATATTAGCTTTTGAATTTTAAGCCTAGCCTCGATCATCATTACTAAAGTCGGAACGATAAAAAAGCATAGTTTCGCTTATCCATTTTTGGATTTAATCATCATTGAGCGTTGAGCAGCAGATCGGATTCAAATCCAGTGAAAATCCGACACATAAGATGACTTTGAGAGTTGATTAAGGTCTTTTCGTGTTAATAAATGTCTAATTAATAGTTTATATTCCAGGCCTAAAGAAAGACCTGCAATAAGCAGATTTAGCTCTTGTATAATATATGTTTAATATTAGCCGTACATCTAGCGACCAGAACGTTGAAATATCTACTCAGACCTAGCCCGGGATTGAAACTGATAATCAAAAACAGCCATAAAGCCACAATGTTCTCTTGTAAAACTTAACCGTAAAAATACCACAGTGCCTCTTTAATCAAATATGTTACAGTCTATGTTTAACATGGAAAGTTATCGATATTTCAGTGATGCAATTGGCAAATGTTTGATGCAACATCCCAGTACATATTCGTTATTTTAATGTGTAGGCAAGCACAGCTGTCGACATTTTTTTTATTTCACATCAAACAAAAGCCAAACATAGCTGGCGTTTGAAATTCATTATATTTTTTTCAGTGAAAGGGAATACTATGCACGTAACTGGGGCAATACAATTTGCTCAATGACACTAAAATGTATTACTAACGTTGGCTACGTGGTGATTGTCATGAAATGAAGTTCGATTTACCATCTTATTTTTTCAGCACCGACGGGACGAGTTAATACGGCGTGCTAGGTGGGTCATTTTGCCCGGACCGTGGCCCTACTGTTATTTCTAATTCCAAATGTCAAGAGTTATTTTACGTGCACGCCAGCGTGTACACGCGATCTCCATTATTCGTATCATCTGAAGGACTAGACACTTTTCCTTCTTAGGCTTTCCTTCCTGCAACGTTGACAAGGGGAAACAACGCCGGTAAATTCCCTGGAACCTCCACGCCCAACACCGGAAACGAACCCGAGGACGCCTGGTTAGCCAGCCATAGTCTTACTCATGGAGCCACCCCCCTTCCCCCGATTGTCATAAATTCGCAAAGTTTTTGGTTATAAATTTACCCCCGCGGCTTACAAACCGTATTGATTTGAGTGTGACAAGAAAAATTTTGTGGATTCAACGACAAATCAAATTAAAAGTCTTCGCTAAAAGAGAGAGAGAGAGAGAGAAAGAGAGAAATAGGGAGATCATTTCGGGACTAACATATGGTTCAATTTTATTTCAATAATTCGCTTGCGCGTAGGGGTCTTTAGCAGTGGATGAAAGGGAACCGGAGGACCTGGAGAAAACCCACGAGGTTGGACAGGGGACCCTACTCCTTGTCACGTACAACCAGGGAATCGAAACCACGCAAGTTGACCCAATGATAGACCTTAAGATACAACGCACACGCTAAACATTCGGTCGAGACCCCCCCCCCCCAACATATTTATGGAAGTACGGTCAGGGAAAACTAGTTAGCTGTGTGAACTTCCCAAATGAATAAGAAGTGGTGCCAGGTGTTCTAGGAAAGGCATAACCTGCCGCGTGCAATACATCAATCACAAGTATTTCCAGCTGGTATACCAGAGTATCCACACAATTTAAATCCTATCATGTATCTTTACACTTTAAATACATTGAATACCAATCTAGAATCTGCACTACTACAAGAATTGCTAGCTCGTCAAATATTCCACCATACTCTCATATATGCACACACCATAGGGTGCACAAATGCCTGCATGCACGTTGATAGATATCGCATGTGCGGTTGTGCAATCAGAATGTACGTATCAAAACTACAATGTATTAGGAAAGACAGATGGATAGATGTACAACAATATGGTCTGGTAATTTAAGAGGGAATATGATTACCATATGTTAATACTTTCAAAATACAACAGTGCAATCAAATGGGAAGTGTCATCGGGTAATAAGAAGGAATTATTATTCAGATAACTGGATTTGGACCTGGAATACAAAATGAAATGGGGTTTGACGTCCTACGTTTCTGCACCAACCGGGCGAATGAAGACGAATTTACGGCATGCAATGGGCCATCAAGGAAATTTTCCCCGGACAGCGGCGCTTCGGCCTACTCTTATTGCAAAGTGGAAGTTTTGGGGATTCTTTTACGTGCACGCCAATTTTAAAAGCGGGTTTTCTTTCCATTCGAACTACGTGGTGTATCTTGTCCTACATGAGGAATTGGATAACCTTAAAGTAGCCAAGTCTCCAATCTGATTAAAACACAGATCCTATTTCGTTTCGTTTTTATAGTTCAAAATTTCGTTTTATTTGTCTTTACTACACTGTAGTGTAGGTCATCGAAAATATAAAAAACGAAACGAAATATAGATCTGTATTTTAATCAGAATGCTAAGTCTCTAACTCAATATAATCCACAGTCTTCTATATACAAAACACGACTTAAATTGGTCAATTTAAATCAACATTGATGTTATTATCCTACTGTGAAAAGTTGGGCCTCTGATATCCAATGTTTAAGACAAAACATCATTTTAAAATTGGCACACCGAATGTGTGCCAGAATGCTTTCGAGCACCATTTGTATAAAGCGACTCGATGAACGAGGCTAAACATACCCTCTTCGTGTATTTCGCCGAACATAACTGATTAGCAATTACAGTCCAAATAGAAACGATTGAATGTAAATCGGTTCATTTACATTCATATTACATTATTATATGCGTTGCAACCCATTAGTGTCAATTTCTAGGTGCCAAAGAATAGCGATTTAGCTCCTTTCAACTAATAACCCCGTCAGACCGGGTTGGCGTCCTTACTGCTCTGCTACGGCGACGGAAAATGGTCTCAGAGCGCGTCAAGATCGCCATAAGCGTGGTAAAAGCGTGGTAAAAACACCAGATATCGTGCTGTGGTCTAATGATCGCCGGGTCACGGCGTTTGCTTTGAACATGTTAAAACAAACGCCAAGGTTCTGCGATCTGACCTGAAAAGTTTGAAATTTTTGGGACGTTTTCTCGCGTTGTGTTCACATTTTCTGGTCGCTGTACGGTCACAGCAGCGCAGTAAGGACATCACCCCTGTCTGACGGGGACGTTATAAGTAGCCATGGAATTAAAGCGTTGTCATTTTCAACATCAAAAACTATAACATGTTATTAAGCCCACTTAATGATCGATTGTCGAGCTAATATATACCCTTCAAAAAAAGTAGGGGATATTGAAATGCAAATACCTATGCAGGTTGTGATATGATAAATAGTCATGGACACAGGACATGCTTTGAGAGTATGTTCACAGATGAAGAATTATCGCCCCAACAGAACCATTGAGTTGCACATGCGACACGCAATAGCGCCATACACGTGGGAGGGGTTCATTGTCAAATTTGACACTTCAAGGAATGGTTGATGAAAACTGTCGCGTGCTGTTTTATCTATCCATGTTAGCATTCCTGTCGGTTCTTGCATAGGATTTACTGTTTAGCGTATCTTTGCTTTAGTGTGTTACGTTTAATTTTTTCGGGAGACGTGTTCGTCGACGTCAACGTCAACCGACAACGCTGCAAAAATTGGCCGTGGCACTGCAAGAGGAGTGGGTCAGATTGCTCCAAATCGTGATTGGACGGTTGATTATGAGCATGCCACGACGAATTGCTGAATGTCTGAGGATTGGTGGAGCAATTACTCATTAAGACAAAAATCAAAAACGTCCATTTTCACTTGACGGTGTATCTCTTTGCGAGTGAAATGGGGCCGACAGATAAGTCGCCCATATCAACTGTTTATGTTCATGTGTAGGCAATTGGCCTGTTATTAACATACACTGGTTACCTCTAATAAAAACAGCAGTGCCTTTCCGCAGTTTGTATTGTTTCTGAATATCTCCTTTTTTGAAGAGTATATAACCGAAGCCCATTCGTCTTGAAGAGAGAGAGAGAGATGGGGTTTACCGTCCACTCGACACAAACCAGGTCATTTTGGGACTAACATATGGTTGAATTTTATTTCAATAATTCGCTTGTGCGTAGGGGTCTTTAGCAATGGGACGAAACCGGAGGACCCGGAGAAAACCCACGAGGATGGACAGGCGACCTAACTCCTTTTCACATACAACCGGGGAATCGAAACCCCGCCAGTGGACTCAATGAAAGACCTTATGATAAAACGCGCACACGCTAACCATTCGGCCATCCAACCCCCCCTTGAAGATTAAAAGGCTGCAGTACATTACACAAGAATTAAGTCTGAATACACTCTAAACGATTTGTTCTATTGACAACATTGACATAAACTGTTTAAATAAAGGCTTATACCTGTTTGTTAAGTCAATACCTTTTCAGTAACTCACGACACGTTATTGAGAATGGCTCACGTGGGAAGTTCAACTTTTTATTGATATTTCATAACCTCGCAACAAGGCATAATTCTCCAGGGCCGTGTGATTGCCCTGTTATTTATTGGCTTGTCAATGGAGGTTTAAATCT